CATGCGAAGCAAATATTCGAGTGTTTTTCGTCTGTGTGTGCATCAATATGTGCATGTGTTTGCAGGAGGTGGCAACAATAGGCGTGTTTCGTAGGCGGTCGTCCTCGACCACTTTTTTGGTCGTCGTCATCGTCAACGTCAAGCAATCCCCAAAGTGAGAAAAAACAAGAAGGGGGCGTTGGGTAAAGTACCAACAGAATAATAATGGATATATGTACAAAAAAATATATAGAAAATTGCAAGTATTAGACCAACCAGGTTTAAAACGTAAATAAACGTAAAAGTAAATATTTTTTAGGGAGAAGTAAATACAATAAAAATAATTTTATACATCTCAATAATGTTATAATATCTATGACTCAACTATTTCAATACCAGTATCTGGTCCAGCTTACTTACCATGCACCGATTACAAAATTCTAACTAAAATAAGTACCTTTATAGTTTAATTAATTTTGTGCTAATGCTATACAAAACACAAACACACGAGATTCAAATGCAGATGGGTATTTGTATATTTACATAAATACTCACGTGTGTTTTGTTAACTTAATTCCCGGAAAACTTTCCATAGGCTGCCATTAGGGAAAACGAACATGAGAAGATGGACAGGACAGAGCATTGCGGCTATTCATTGACTATGTGCGCACATATCCGTAAATACAAACTGCTGTATATGCGTAAAGTGCGAGCCAGTTGTGTCAGTCGATTGAAAGTTTAATAGTTTTTAGTTTTACAGTAACTTAAATTGCAATGCAACATGATAACCTAAAGCAGATCTCAACAAATCCAATTTCGTTTGAGTAAGTAACTAAACTGATTTAAGTACACTGTGTGTGTGTCGGCAGAGGGACGGAAGAAATCAAAAATCAGAAATATGAGCCAAAGGAAAAAGCTTAGGCATGTCTTTCTTATAGGATCATTCTTATAGGACTATTGATAGTAAAATGCTTCCAGCTGTGTTATATCATATGATTTTTTTAGATATAGGTTAACATAGGTTATTTTACTATATCTATTTCAACATAACGCACTGTACAACTATCTATCTGTCCATCCTTGTATGTATTTGGTGTGTGTGTGTTGGGCAGACATGCAACGCACCAAAACACCCACCCGCAACACACACACTCGAATAGAGACAGACATCCCTAGACCTAAGTTGCATGAACTTCAGTTTCGCCTCGCATTTCGGGACATGGGTGGGCTTTCGAGGGGGGCTTTCCGAGGGGTTGGCGCCTACCAAGGCGAGTCAAAAACAAAGGGAGGATTGGTTGTGGGTGGCACAAATGGCAAAATGGAAACGCACACAGACACAGGGGCAGGGGTGGCGCCTGGGGGTGGGGGGTTCGTTCTAGGGGTTCCATGCACGCACACACAGGCACACATGGACTTTGGCCAAGCCCAAAGGCCTGGGATGCCGCCATTTTACTGCGTCCTGCACACAACCCTCAGAATTTTCCATCAACTCTCCCCCCCCCCCCAACTCCTCTACCAGCCCCCCTTGCACATTCGTGCTGCAGGTGCGCCGCCACGAGAAGTTTGAGGGGGGGTGGACAAGGGGGTTGGATATATCTCCTAGTCCTAGTCCAAAGAGTTGATTGCGAGCTCGGCAGAAAATTTCCGACCTATCGCATGCAGTATCCTCGTTGCGTTTTGCAATGCCACCCAAATGCCCCCAAAAAGACCACCCAAACCCCCTCCCCCATCGCATGCGTGTGTGTTTAAGACCCCAGCTCTGCACTCGTTGCTAAAACCCAAAGAGATAGATACAGGCAGTGATGGTGAAGGTAACCATTGTTTTACCTTCGTACTTTGTAAGGTACACTACAATGGTTGTTATGAGAATTATATGGGGACATATGATTTGTAGATCTCTGCATATATGATCTCTTATTATATAATCTATCTACCACTTTATTCACTTCATTCCTAATTTCATATAGTACAATTCTTAAAACATAAAACATGAAAATCTTAGAAGAAGTGCTTGGCCAATCTCTAGATGTTTATCATATGATCTATGTACCATGAAAATTGTACCTACTTTATTTCGAAGTTCTTTAAATTATAATTCTTAAGGTCTAAAACAAACCCAACGTTTTGAAACCAAGTAAAAAGAGTGTATGAAAACTGTTTAAAGCTTAACTTGCTTAACTTTTGACTAACTCTCTTAATTTCTTTTGAAGTCATGGTCACACTGAGAAATAGAAACTTAAGTAATGGGTACTAAGTATGCCTTTAGGTACAAAACACTAGATACTTCCCATCACTGGACATGGGAACACAGAGCTCATCCTGTCCGAAGCCGGGTCTTTCCTTTTTTATTTTTCCCTTTTATTCCTGAGTGGGTGGCAGAGAAATTCCTTGCTGCGATATCAATTAAGGATACAGCTCACTCACAAGCCCCGCTCCTTCGTCCTCCTTACTATCCTTTATTTTTGAGGATTTTTCGGTGGCCATAGGCAGACTCAGAGACCAAAGTCCAGTATCCCCCCCCCCCAAACTCACACAAAAAAAAAAGTAAAAAAAAAAACACCATCTAAGCCCGAAACTTTGTTCAATGCTGCAATGGACAGGCCAAAAAGGGAGGCAGAAAGAGAGAGGGATAGCGTGGCCGAGTGGGACAGCACTAGTGCACACACAGAGTTGCATGTGCGTGTGTGTGCGTCGTGTGTGTTGGCCTTAATGGAAATTGGTTTTATGCATGTTGGCTTTTGTTTATTTTTACAATTTTGATGATGTTTTGCTGAATGCGATGCGAGTGGCAGTTCCCTCTCCCTCCCACTCTCTCTATGTCTCTTTCTCTCTCTGCTGTGTGTGTGCTGGTCTTTTTGGGTGTTGACTGTACTTCCGGACATTGCATTACATTACGTAGCACGTGTGTGTGTGTGAGTGTAAGTGCGGGTATTTTTCGGAGCTAGGCTGTACGCCCTTTTTCGATTAGCTTTCAAACAAAAATGGCGCATTCGGTGTGCGAGCGAGAGGGCGAGCTGCACAAGGTGCACTCGAGGCCCTTTGGGGTGGACTGTACCCAGGAAAAAAAAGTTCCACAAAAATTGGGAAAAATACTGTACCACGCTGAGAGAATTTTAAGGAGCCGGGGCTTAGCACTAGTGTAATTAGGTTAACTAAGCCGTAACTGAGTACGTAAACAATAATTTCTAATCCTTGTAATAGTTAGAAACAGGTTAATTTCTTTTTTACTTAATGAAGTTGAAGAGTAATGTGTTGATGTGTAATGGATCTGTAACTATTATGATTATCAATCTTTTAATTATTTAAATTTATTATTATTAAAAGATGTTACGTACCACTTTTTGTGTTAAGAATGCATTAAAAAGTCTATTGTATTTTAAGAAGATACAATTTCAGTTAAATTTTTTTTCAAAAAATTGTTTTCTAAAATTTTAAAAAATTGTTAATCAATAGATTTTTGTTCGAACTGTAAAACGGTCAGTCATGTTTGATACTGAGGCATATAAAACATTTTAAACAGAAAAAACCTTTGTAGGATTTTAAAGGATTTACTTTTTTTTTTAGGAAAATCCATACAGATCACAAAAAAATATTTTTTTCAGGTAACAATACATGCCACTTGGGAAAGCTGACTAGAAAGGGAGAGGAATGCCACTTAGAAAGGGACGGAGGGACAGTTGATAGTTGAAAAATAGGTGGAGAGGTGGACCACTTGTAACGATTAATAGCCATAGTTATGGCCTGACCACCAGCTCTACTCACCCCCCCAAAAACCCTACCTTAACCCCCTTTTCGTCTGCCCCATGGCACACAATGAAGCTGCCGATAAAAATCCTCGAGTACACAGACACTCTAGGATCGCATTTTGCATATGCGTTTTCCTCCATCCCAGGAAAACCACCCGATCCCCACCCACTGACGCCCATTTACCGGAAAAACAAAATCGACACAGAGTAAAAAACGGAGAACACAACACCGGCAGCAAAAAATAAAAATAAAAATAACAAAAAAAAGGAGGAAAAAACTAAAAACCAGAGGGAAAAAATTCCTTTAGGTTCGACATTTGACTGCCCTGTGTTGTTGGTCAGGGGCCTCGAAATCGCCAGAACCAGATATATACGTATATAGTATATCCAGCCAGCGAAGAGCGCCCAATCAGAGGCGGGAAAAAGGTCCTGGTTCGCTTTTTTTCGGGGGGAGTGGCCAGCACACACACTCTCGCAGGATAAAGGCATGGAAAATAGAGAACAGAACGGCATTTTTTCCCATCGCCGGACCCGAGGGTCCCCCGCTGGACGGGGGGCACCGAAGGGTTAAGCCGGACTTAGTGGGAGGCCCGCCATCAGAGGAAAATCCAAAGCCCCAAGCGAAATGATTGACAACTTCAGTCGTGACATCTAAAGACTATATTGTTCTTTTCTGAATATCGTAATCCAATTCATTGAAGAATTTTCAGTTTTCATGGTTAATGACATCAAAATTTAAAATAAATTAAAATTTCGTATGCCAGTTTTATATTTTGAACAAGTTCAACCTATGCTTAATGAATGAATTAAATATTTTATTTTATTATATATTTAAAAACTAAAATATTTTACTATAGAAGGAAATAAACTAGGTCAAAATAAAGTGTTCGAAATAAATTTTAAACCATTTTTAGCTTTCATCCCTATAAGGTACTTCAATTTTTAGAATATTTTAAATTATACAAAATAAAACAATTTTAGGAAGAAAATAGTCATTAGTTCAAAATAAATTTAAAAAATTTTTTTTAGAATTTCTATTCAAAATTTATATTTTTAGAACCGCAACCTACTCACCTTTAAATTATTAAAACCATAAAATTCCCATTCCACCTTTTAAATTTAAAATAACAACCAACTCCATTTATGTTTTTATAATTTTTATTTTACTTTTTCATTTTTATTTCGTTTTTATTTATTTTTTCTTAGAAAAAATTAATTTAAATTAAAAAAAAACTGAATTGAATTTGTTGATTTTTATTCTTGCTTATTCTTTGATTTATGGTTGCTATTGTTTTGCGGTTTATCCTTTAGTGATTTGGGTGAAAAAGGTTAATTACTGTACACAATTTTTGTTGAGAACTGCTCTTGAAGATTTTCACGCAATCAAGCCACTACTTCTTATGTTTTGTATAAATATATAGTGTATGCATTCATTTTTTTTGTTTTTATCTTTTTATCATATTTTATATATATTTTTTCAAAAATTACTAATAGCTTAAAGGCTTCTTCGTTTGGTTAAAAAAAATTGTTTTCGAGTAAAACCATTTATCGTTTATCAAAGGGACTCTGACACAACCCAGGCAAAGCTCAAGTATCAATCAAAATGGTGAACTCTCTCTCTTAGTAAAGAAGAAAATACGAAGTCTACAAAATTGACGATCACATCCGAAATTTATCAAGACATTGAAAATGATACAATCCAAAACTCTCTATTTTGAATAGACATTAAGCAGAGTTTTTTAATCGAATGTACAAGTGAAAAGAAATCAAAATGAAAATCGAAATCCCTTCTAGTTGCCTTTCCAATTGATTTATTTATCTGATGCTACATGGGTTAATGTTTATGGGTTGGTTATTTTCAGTTACACATATAAATATATACGGCTATATGCATATATATAGACACCAGAACCCGTCGAACAAATCAATAGAAACGATTAAAACCAATTACTGTGTTTGTTTTTCTTCGGATACATGTATTGTATATGACTTACATAATGAATGCTTTCGCTATCTCTCCTCCATTTGCCGATCGCCCCGATCGATTGTTTGCAAAAAAATATATGTATATTATATGGTATATCCCGCCCCAGAAGGTTCGAAAAAAAAAAATTCTTTTTAAATCTTTCTTTCTTTTTTTCTTATGTGTTTATGTTTTCTTCGTTTTCGTTTGCTTTAGGTTTTTCTGGTTGTTTTTAAAGTATGCATTTTCCCCAATTTTCGTTTGCTTTAGGTTTTTCTGGTTGTTTTTAAAGTATGCATTTTCCCCACCCGCCCGTCCAAGTCGCGCACCCACTTTCTGGAAAATCGCCGATACAACTGCCGGATCCGCTTCCTGACCCACCTCCTGACCTCGGGCGTTCAGTCTTCGACGGCGTATTTCTGGGTCCACTCGCGGGCATTGCGAATGGCCTCCGCCTCGTTGACCTTCCACAACTCGGCCACATCGTTGGCCAGCGGATCATCGGGATTGGGTGCGCTGAGCAGGGCCTGAATGGACAGCAAGATGGTGCGGATCTGCAGGGCCGGACTCCACTTGTCCTTCAGCACGTCCAGGCAAATGCGGCCCAAACGATCGATGTTCGGATGATAGATCTTGGTGATGAAGCGCACCTTGGGCGCCGACATGGGATAGTCCTCCGGCAGGAAGAGCTCCAGCTTGAAGACCCCGCCCTCAAAGGGCGAATCATTGGGTCCGGTGACGATCACATGAAAGTAACGTGCATTGTTCTCATCGGGAATGGCATTGATCCCGGGCACAGGCTCCTGCATCAGACGCTGTGTCTCCTTGATGATGCGACGTGGCAGACTCGACATCTTTCAGCTGCTTCCTCTTCACTTCTGGGATGAACTGGGGACGTGGATTATGTCTAGGGCTTCTCGAAGAGCTGCAAATCAAAATGGTAAATCGAGAGAAACGAGATCAGAATATTGGATTATTAGTTGACTGATAAGGTAGTTTTTGACTACTGGTCTGTTGGTAGAGAATTTGGTTGTGGTACTTAGTTTGACATTAAACACTCGGGTCACTTTTTTATAATGATAAGTTCCAAGGCATTTTTAAAAAATCCAAGTTCGTGATTATTATTATTATGCTAAAAGGCAACCCTTGTTTTTCTATGGCATTTAGGATGATTGATATTCATAAATATCAATAGCAAAATTGGGAAAACAATTTTTTTTGTCTTGTTTCTTTATGAAAATATTTTAAAATCAAATAAAATATTCTTGTTGTAGCCCAAGGTCGATGTGTGTTGTGTGTAGGGTTGGGCAGCTGGGTGGATTTCGGTTTGATACGTGGCTTTCACTTTCCTCAAGAAAGTTTGGCTGCAGAATTTTGCATGCCACAAAGATGTCTTTCTAATACAGTGAAACTAAGCTAAATAAAACTTGTTACTACTATAATAAGAACTACAGGGGATTACCGAATAATGATTTTTAGCATTTCAATTCAGAATACATATATTTTTCCTATTTTAGTTGGTTCTAATATTTTTTTTTTAGCTTTAAAAGTTGTTTCCTTTTAAATACGGCTTTACATTATGTATACTTTGATATTAACACTATTCATACACATTTTTGCATAATTACTGGGTATAATTACACACAATTACACAAGGTGACAAAAAAGTTAATATTTTTTAAGATCTTTTAAGATCTTTTTTGAATAATATCCAAAATAAAGCCAATAAAAGCTAGTATTATAAGAAGGAACTTAAAAGAAGTCTGTATCCCAAATATGATGACTATATCTGTACTAGGTCCTGAGATTTCCGATATTTTCTAGTTTCACGAAGATAATAAATCTTGTATTTGTTAAACTCTTAAAATACAACATTCCTTCTAACAATCGATATATAAAGATATATTTTCACAGTGGTGTTCTTTGTGTGTAAGCCAAGGCGGCCCACCCACATTTGCCACCCCCTTTAACGTGACCTTGTGGCTCCTTTAACTGTTTACATTTCCTAGACACACAGAGAAATCAAGTCAAATAAAGGAAAACGGGGAGAGACAAAGATAAACACGAAACAAAAGCCAATAAACGAAAGCGTCGAAGTTTCCAGAAATATTATGATGGCCACAAAGCAAAAAAATAAATTATCATAACAATATAATACAAATTTTTTCAAGTGTGCGGCTTTTGTTGTTTTAACATTTATTGATTTCCCTTTTGGGTGACAAATGCACGTAGTCCGCAGAAGAAGAAGCAGAGCGGAAGCGGTTGAAATGCAGGAAAAGCAGTGAAAATGCTTGGAAAATCAATAATGTTGGCAATTTAACTAAAGAAAAAAAGCTAATAAGATTTTCCTTCTTTTTTTTGCCAGCAGATATTTCGCTCACACACACACACACGTACGCACGCACGCACACAGACAGAACGCAGACAACGCGCACGAAAAAGACAAAGGCGAAAAGAGAATATGCGAATGAGCGAGACAAAGAGGGCGAGCAGAAAAAAAAGAAGAAAAAGCCGCATTTTCGGCGAATTTAATTAAACAAAAAGAAAAGGCGGAGGAAAACTTAAGGAAAATTCTTGTTTTTCACACACGCACACACACACACAGACACACTTGCTTTAGTTTTATCAACTTTTTACGGTTAATTCTTGCTGCTCCTCTTTGATTTTTATTCAATTTTTATCTGCTACTGCTTCTTCTTCTTCTTCGGCTGCTCCTGCCTTTTGTTGTTGTTGTTCTCACAGCAAATTTTTTCCTTTTTTTTACTTTTACATACTTTTTGGTTGGACAAAAACAACGATTTCGGGCTATAATTGAGAACTTTTGATTAAACACGAACTCACAGCGATGCGGCGCCAAGTTATTGTTGAATTTGCAATGCAGTTGGGGCCAATTTTGCGTTGGCAAATTGATAATTTCTCGCTTTTTTCTGGCAGCTCCACCACAAAAATTATGAATGTCGAACACACTCGAAAAAAAATGTAGCCGCTGCGCTGGTGTGCGTGCGCGTGTGTGTGACTCGCGTGCGTCTGTGTGGCGTGCGTGTGAGCGGCAATGTCAGAATGCAGGGTTGCCAGAGCGCGCAGCGTTGGTTTTCACTTTTTTAAATACACCTATCACTGGTTAAATATCTGTTTTAAATTTAGAAAATACTTTTCCCGGCTTACTTGATTATTTAACTTGTGTTTTCTGGCTTTCATTCTTCTTTTGCTCTGTACTTTAATAGTTCTTCCTAGTAAATGTGAATATTCGATGACAACTCTAGCGTTTTGCGGCTGTCAAATGTGACCGAATTCTGTGGCAATCAGCTGGTCGGCACGCTGCAACCCTCAGTTTTGTAGCGCTTAGCTTTTTTCTTGCGATATGCTGGGCTTCGAATTTGGCGCGTAAAAGTCCAATTGGATAAAAAGGCTGATGGTTTTGGTGGTTTTTCAGTTTATTTGGGTTTTATGGCCTTAGTTTAAGTTAATTTAGTTTTATTTAAATTTTATTAATATTTAAAAGAGCTACAGAGTCTTTGGTCTGTTGAGAAGAGACAGAATATTTTTTTAGCTTAGGTATTTAGGTATAAGCATTAAAATGTATATTATTTCCTCGTAATTATTATTTTATCAACTGTTATCGAAAGTAAAGTTTATTAAAACAAATCATTTTCGCCCTCGTAAATTTATGTACATTCATAATCTATTAAAAAAAAACATTTAAAAAAAGAAGAAAAATATAATTTGGTATGAAAGTTAATTTTAAGTTATGATTTTTTATTGAAATAAATATTGGGTATTAAAAATTAATTATGTACACAAAATAGAAAAAAGTGGAATTCCAATTTGGTATTCAGTATAAGAATCTATGGTGTCAGTGGTTATATTTGTACTTTTTTTTTCTTAAAAAATTAATTAAAATTTTGATTCCAAAGACAATTTTTTTTGTAAAACATTAATGTGAATTGGAGCGATCTAAGTTTAATTTAATATGGACTTTAAAGCAAAACGTGCATAATTTTCTATCAAATTTTGCAATACTGTGACAAAATAATTCCATAATAGTTCTATTCATTCTCCTTTATTTTTCTTGCAGTTAACCTTTTCTTATCTTTAAATTTGTACTTATATGTTTAGGTCTATACACAAAAATAATTCAATAAACATTTATTGTTGAGAAATACAAAAATAAATTATTTAAATATTAGATAAGAACTCTCTTTTATTTTATTTTAGGCTTTAAAATTAAGTTTTTATTTTGTAGTTTTTATTTATTACAAGAACTTAAGTAAAATATACACAAACGATAAAGTGTTTAAATTAACATCCAAAAATATATTTTTAATTTGGCATTCAGCAAGACTCAACGATTCCAATAATTCCCATCGAAAAGTTCCAATCAGACATCACCCAAAAAGAGAGCTGGCAACAACAACAACAACAAATTGTCAATTTGGTGTAATCAACATTTATGCGTTTTTAAAAAGAGAGGCTGTCCAAACACACACACACACACGCGGGCCCACATGCACTCTCACCCACACAATGAATGCAATGCCCAATGGACGCACAAGAAGGCGAAAAGAGCAACAACAAAAACCACAAGGCAGAAGGCAGAAAACTAAAATAACAGAAAAAAAAACGGCAACAACCTCTCGCTCGCACGCACACATGATATTTATCATTCGTATTCGCTCGATTGCATAGGCCGCCTGCATGTGTGTGTGTGTGCTTGTGTGTGAAGAGTGTGAGATAAAAACAAACAGCAACAACAAGAAGAACAACTGCAAAAAGGGCAACAACACAACAGCAAGTCAGCCATATGCATTACACACACACACACACACACGTGCGATCTTCGTTTTTAGGCTGGCCAAAACAACAACAACGCCCGTAGTCCAGCCCACAAGCGAGAGCGAGAGAGAGCAACCTGCCTCTCTGCCTTGCTGCTGCAACTGCGCTGCTTTTTCACACGCAGTGTGGGCGGTGGGAGGGGGCAAAGAGAGGCAGAGTGCAAGAGAGAGAGAGGTGGAGGGGTGGTGAGGGGCAGGCGGGGGTGGGGGTGGCGACCTTTATTCGCTCTTGAGTTGCAGCTGTTTTTAGTGCTTGTTTTTTTTCTTGCCTTCCTTTAGTTTTATGTCCGCTTATGGCCAAGTTTTTACCGCTACAGCTGATCTGTGGAAGAAAGGGGGGAGAGAGGAAGAAGGGGAGAAGAGAAAGAATGTTTTAAATTCAGTTTCAAATTCAAAAGAAACCTTATTTTCCTTATTTTTATGTTATCTGAAACTAACATTCTATTAGAAATATGGTTAAAAAAATTCAAAACTTAAAAAATTGGAATAAAAATTATAAAAATATTTCAAAATGTAAATATAATCGAAATTATTGAACGAAAATGTAATAGAATATGATGAAATATTTAAAACTAAGATATAACTGGAATGAAACAGTGCAGTGTTGATATTTTCATTTGATAAATGGAGTGAAATTTTAAAAAATTAAAAATGTTATAATATGATATTAACTTACATATATAATATAAATATAATATATATAAAAATTTGTAAAGCATATTTCAAAACACTAGAACATAGAATCTCCATTGGAATTAAGAGGTACATCAATACAAGTTCTAACCGCATAGATGTTTTACGATACTATAGATAGAAATTGCGATGAAAGACTAAACATGATGTGGATAAGAATATTTTGAGGACATTAAAAAAACCCATTCTAAAGAACATCAGTAGAAATTCGATCCGAATCACTCCAAACGAAAAAGAATGATCCTTTTTTAGGAATTTAATGAAAGAATATTTAAAAATACATATCCATTATATGATATTTAAGTTCTTAAAACTAATATAAAATAAAGGCTTTATCATATTGTTTCAAAGAAAAATTAAATTCGCTGTAAGAAATTTTTTCCTTTTAAATATGTAGGTATTATTTATGTAATTAAATTCCCTTTACCTTCCATTAATATTTATCTATTTTCGATTTTAATGGCCGACAATGCCCTGCCATAGTTACAAAAACATGGCGCAGTTTTCTAGGGGTTTTCTTGCCCTGTAAATTCAAGGGTGAGTTACACCTTTTCCATGGCTGTTTGGTTATAGTTTTTGTAACCCTTACTTGTAGGTAAAAAGTATGTAATAAGAGTTATTTTTATAATAACCAGTTTTCAAGTTGCATATTTCTATTAACTACATAATTTGACATCCAAACTTATTGGGTTCTTGAGAAAATGTTGAAAGTATTGACCCAACCAGGTGATAAAACCGTTTAAAAGTAGATTATTTTTAAAAATTTAATCAAATTACCAACCTTTAAAATCTATTTATGAAATTATATAAAATAATATTTTTCTTTAAAATTTGTTAAGAAATGATAACTAATTTTGGTTAAATTTTTAAAAAAAAATTTATTTTTATATTAAAACCAAATTATTTCTTAAACAAATTTTCTTAAAATTCTAACACATTTGATTTTGATTATAAGCTAAAAATATTTGTATTCAATAATATTATAAGCAATTTTTAAATAAATTTTAAGTATAAATTAAAATTAATAACGAGCATTAAAAGCGAAAGAGCAAGTTATTCAAAACGGAAAACTTTGACAGCACTTCCTGTGGAGGAAATAAATCTCTGTATTGTTTCGTAATTAGCACCTCAATTTTTCTTCCTTTTTCTTTAAAACTTTCTTTGATTTTCCTGCTTTTTTTTTTTTGAGGTTTTCTTGAGAAAAAAACCAGCAACATTTGATTTGTAAACATGTTGCCAAAGGAAAACTTTGGCAACATCTCCAATCAGAATCCACGCTTCTCTCTTTTCCGCCTGCAGTGCAAATGCATCTCAAGAGAGAGCCAAAGAGAGTGGAACACAGAGAATTCGAGAGAGAAACGTACTCTCTGTCTCTCTCTCTTGAGTCCAAAAACGCAACGAACAAAACGAGCAAAACAAAAAGGGCGAAAACACAAACAAAAAGAAGCGCCGCTTTCTTTTTGCTTTCTTTTCACTTTTTCTTGTTCTGTTTTGTTTGTTGTTTGTGTTGTTGCTGTCGAAGGGCAGCAAAAAGAAAGGGGCGGGGGCTGGAGAAAGGGGGCGGGTGAAAGGACGCACGCAAAAATAAAAACAAAACATTGAAATTTCGAGGCGAAAGTGTCCATTAGGCTTTGTTGTTGTTGTAATTTACAAGTGTTAATCCAAAAATAGGAAGGATATTTTCTTATGAGGTATTAAACACATATATCTTAAATTTATTAATTGGGTTTCAGTTATTTACAAAAGAATCAATAAAAAAATATTTTTAACGAATGGTTTTTCAATCTTTAGGTAACCCGATTTAGAATCTCTCTAACATTTTAAACATATATTTAGATTATAATATAAATATTCCTTTTTTTAGATATCCTTTCTCCATTTTTCATGACTGATATAAAATATCTATGGATTTCTAATCCCAATTTCAAAGAAAGCTAATTAACAAAATTAAAATTAAAAAAACCTCTAAAATAATAATAATCCTAACATTTATATATTTATTTCAATTTTAATATCATATCTCAATATATATCCTAATATTGGTATAGTGGGTGGTCTTTTAAGCATGTACTGTAACTACCTATGTAAGTCTTAATTTAAAAAAAAAATTTTTTCATTATAAAAATATAATAAGTAAAACAAAATAAATATACAAAATCTCTAAAGTGTTTTCTTAGAAGCTTTGAAATCGCTAGAGATATATGTAAAGCCATTTTAAATACATTTTGACTTTGGAACTTTTTCCTAGGAAAGCTAAGGCGCCAAAGGGTATGCAACGATTTGGTAAGCTTAATATTTTGCAGTCTACTTATGTGCTTTTTGATAAGGGGATTTCAAATTTCTAAGAAGATTTCTGTTAAAACATTTTAAATGCATATCAACTTAAGTATGTTTTTATTAAGAAAGTAAAAACGCCCAAGAGTATGCAACGGTTTAGTAAACACAAGATTTCATAACCTACTTATGTGCTTATTTTTTAAAAGATTTCAAATCTCTC